GGAAGTAGTAGTAGTCGTCGTCCTGGTGGTGGTGGTGGTGGTGGTGGTGGTAGTAGTGGTGGTCGTAGTGGTAGGAGTGGTAGTAGTGGTAGTGGTAGTGGTGGTGGTAGTAGTAGTAGTCGTCGTGGTGGTGGTGGTAGTTGTAGTAGTAGTAGTAGTAGTAGTAGTAGCAGTAGCAGTAGCAGTAGCAGTAGTGCTCGTCGTCGTCGTGGTGGTGGTAGGTAGCAGTAGCAGTAGTGTAGCAGCAGTGTTCGGAGAAGTGATTGCACCTTCTGCTTGGTAGGCTTGGCGCGCTGAAGCCGGAGAGCCCCGATGATTGAGGGCTCTAGTGACAGCACTGTGTAAGAAGCTATGGATTCAGAAACCAGCTCGGCATCTGGCGGGCCAGTGTTGTTGACTGGAGGCAACCCTGAATGACGAAGCCTAGTGCCTAGACTCCTAGACCTTAGGAAATCGAGAGGCGGGCAAGCTTAAAGTTTGGTAAACATTGCGGCCTGAGATGCTCAGTTACAAAGAATGGGTTTCAAGCAGGTTCTCCTGCATTCGTGCCTAGATCCAAGCACCGATCAAGGCATCGAAGACAGCATCAATCTGTGCAGGTGCTATCCTTCAAACAGTCTTGGACTAGCAGAACTCGAGCATCGTTTCTTACCCAGGGCTGTCACCTTCCATTGCTTCGCTCGCGGGCAATTCAAAGAAACGGATGATGCACACCCGATGTCGGATTTACAACTGGGCCACATGGCAGCTCATCCGCGGGTTCATGCTGCTGCTGAGTGCTTTCTCCAGGCTGAATGGTCAGCAACAGCAGCGACGACTGTGCGAGTATAGGCTTTGGCATCAGGTGTGTCTGACCACAGGACTGGCATGGTCAGAAGCAGCAGAATACGTTGCTGGCTAGCGGCTGTTCAGTTAATCAATCCAGGCGCGATTCATGTTGACAGATCGCTCAGGGAGGATCTCATCGGTCGGTTAAGCGAACCGACAGGCTCATGCCAGGATTCTAAGGAGAGCAAATCCATAAAGAATGCCGGTGCGGAACCGGACACACACACACACACGCACGTGGACATGCACACATGGTTCGGGAAGCCGTTCAAGTTGGTGCATGGACTGGACATTCGGTGAAATGCTTTCCGTGGGGCGCCTTGCGCTCCCACAGCTCCTAGCTGCAAAGCCCCTCGTTAAAATCAGACCTGGTGCACTACAGTATCGAGCACTCAGTTCGAGTGATTGGGCATGCCATCGACAAGTGATTATCCCTGAGGGGGCCTTGCGGACGGGCCTGTGGAGTGTAAGTTCCATGCCCATCTTGTGAAGAAATACACGATTGCAAGACTCTGTTCCGACTGTAAAGTTGCATCCTCCACCCGATAGCAAAGCCACGAAGACGTCGATGGTGCTCGCTGCGATAAAAACATAATGAAACCCAAGCCCTGCAACCCCACTCCTGTCGTCCTCTCTCGCTCTCTCACACGAGCACTGGCCGTTCTTTCTTTGCTCTCTCTCTCGCTGATGTGAAAATGTGCAAGTTCTCCCGTTCTCATGCTTGTGAAGCAATTTCATTACACGTTCCAGTGTTGGAACTGCAGGTAGCTGCATAAGACGCAAACCAAGGGTCCCCCGATTGCCACACAGCCCTTCTCTCTTTGCAGTAATAACATACTCAACGCTGGTTGCATAGGGGGGCGTGGCAGGTCCGAGCTTTCTGTACATTTGCTGCTAGGCATCCCCCGCTAAAACAACTCACGGCCAAAATGCTGCAGGGGGTGAGGGAGCGACCCCCACATCTGCGCTCCTTTCTTTTTGCTGCAGGGCTTAGGGATCGAACATCTGCGCTCCTCTCCCTCTCGCTTGCTTGCTTGCTCTCCCACTCTCTGTCTGTGTCCGCCGGACTTATCGATAGGGTGGGACACGGAGTGCGGTCATGGAAACCTGCGGCTCCTCAACGGCCACATCTCTATACATCTCTCAAGCTGCGATTGTGCACAATTACTCCCTGCCTACTCTTGTCGCCTGTTGACTTCTGACTTTCGTGGCGAATGCTTTGGGTTGACAGAAGGCACATCTGCCGCGATTCTGTTGTCACCATCTGCGTGCGATGACAATTGAAATAGAAGGCTGCGAGGACAAGTTAGCCTCAAGCCTCCGCTGACTCCGCAGTAGGCCGCTGCAGCCATTCACGTTCATGCAGGGCACACTGTAGCTCTCGCAGTATCGCGTGAGCACAGGCCCGCGGTCGGTGTCACAGTTGCACGATGACGCGTAGGCAGGCTGGTTTCCTGTTCTTTTTGCTGCTCTTCTCCTCCAGCTCCTAGGCTCGCAGGGAAGCGCAGAGCCAAGCTAATATGCAGAACTAGGATCTAGAGTGACCTACAGTCAAGGTTCATGGGATCGATGCTGTAAGTGACGTCTGCGGTTCAGGGCATCAATCTTTCCGTCGCCCCAAGGCCAAGCACTCCGAAGTCTGGGCCCCCGATGTTGCCACAAGCCAAAAAGTGCGACTAGCACCCCAAATCCGAAAGTCCAGAGTCTAGACACCTGGCTGCTGACGCGTTGAAAGGGAGAGGGGCCGAAGCAGCGGGACAATGTTGCGGCCCGGGTCAATTGAACACATCGATGCACTTATCTTCAGACTGCCCTAGGACTTGAGGATACCTTGGTGCAGCTGCGGCACCAATCTCAGGCAGAGTTCTTCTTCCATCTGTGTCCTATGCAAGAGTGCAATGACTTGAGTGTTGCGGGTCAGGATGCCCAGAAACACATTCAAGTCTGTCGACGACACATCACACGACATATCACGTGGAACCCCTTCAGACAAGGGCGAAGTCGGGCACTCGAGACCCGCAGCCTGCGTGCGTCAATGGCTTCTTCAAAGAATTCCTTGGTTCCGCCGCACGTGCCCAGGTCAGCTCTAGGCTCGGGCACACCTCCGCTCCAGGGGCTACAGCAGTAGTGAATTGCAAAGTGCCAAGGCGCGGGATCGCGGGAGATGGACTCCAGGAAGATGGCCAGATCTTCTTCCTGGCTCTGGATGGGGTCAGGAGGCCACTGAAGGCTACTTGCACTTGCGGTCTTCAAGCTCTACCAGCCATCTCCAGAAAGTCCAAACCAAGCTCTGATGTTGCTCGGTAACTCACTCTGCCAGTTCATGCATCCCTAAGGTCCTGCTTAAGGTCCTTATTGGACAACACCAACCGCGATGCCCTCGGCAGGGCCAATCAAGAAGATTGAAGAGGCACTGATGAGTTGTCACCACGACACATTTCGGAGATTTCTTGAGGCCAAGGTGCTTGGGGGCCTTCAACAGTGATGAGGTAGTCGTTGAGCCAGTACCAGAAGAGCACTTCTTCTGAATAGTCATGGACTTCTCTGGATTCTCCACATTCTGCGCCATTGAAGCTGTTGGTGAGACCATGAGGGAACCGGAAGCAGATTTCCACATCCTCGGGCTCAAGTCCCCAAAACGAGAAACCCAAGAGGTTGCACGGTCCATCATTGCCGCGGAGGGCATCGCAGCGTGTGAGATCCTCACTGCAAAAAATTTGAAAGAAAAGCCATAGCTGCGGATCACCATGCGGACCATGCATCATGCCTATCATGCATCCATAATATAGACTCTTTGACAGACTCCATAGACAATTTGCTTGCTGTATGTCACTACTCTACCACGTACCTTGCCCGAATCTCGAACTCAAAGATCTACATGCCATGCGCCAACAAAGCGCAGGGATCTCAAACTGCACTCAGGGCTCGTTCAAGCGCTCCAACGAAACATCAGCTATCCAAGTCACCGGGTATTCCAGCTCAAACCCGACCGGTGCAGTTGGAAGAAGTCCTCTGCAGCTTGCTGCGACAATTGACAATGGCTTCGGTGACGTTTCAGTTCTGGCGGAGGGCGGCCACCGTGGCCTAAGCTTGAGGCCGGGGGCACTGAGACTGGAGGCATCCCTGGCTCTCCGGACCAATTTCAAGAATCACAACTCAAGCAACACATCTCAGAACCCGTGCAACCAGGCAGTGCTTGCATCGCAGACTTAGCAGAAGTCACGAAACCTGGGTCTCTCTGCTTCCTTCTTACAATACCAAAGTACCACTGACTACCGTGACTACCGCACGCAGGGCTTTGGGTTGCAAGGTCCATCGTACCCAGAGTGTCCTTTGGCAATTTCAGAACTTCCCTCCGCATCGAAGGAGTGAATTCGCATGTCCTCATGCAGAACAAGTATGCACACCGACGCAACCTCTTGCGACAACACAGGAGTCTGGGCTGTCTTGTGTACGCTTCTTTGACCTGTGCAATAGTCACGGGGCAGGAGTGCTGTGGCTGGTGTCAGCGTTCACGGGTGCCCCGTTCTCCCGGGATGCTTTCATAACGCAGACAATATTATGAGAAGCTCGGGTGGCCGACGCGAAAACGAACGGATTGACATGCTCCATGCAGGTGAGCTCAGAACGTTGCCTCTTCTTGCGCTTGACCCTCCCTGCCTCCAGAGTCCAGGCAGCTTCTGGTGCAAGACCTGGTCCGGCTTCGGGGGGGTACGGGATGGTACGCGCGGAGAAAAGATGCAACTTTCAATTCTCTGTGTTGACTGTGTTTCTATTGATCATCTGCTCTGGACCTTAAGCTTGGTGACAGGTAGCTCTTCTTCAAGACTGGCTTCAGGCTGCCCTGTTCACTGGCTCGGCGGCCTTCTGCGTAGTCTCGGAGTCGGGAGAAGCCCAGAAGTCGAGGCTTTTCGCTCGAATCCGGGGCCTCGGCCTTGCAGGGAGTGAAGTGATCAGGCGACTTGCTGACTTCGAACGGGGGGTGAAGGGGTGAGGCCGTGTGCCTGAGAAGCATCTTCACGCAATTCAGCAGGCCTTGCAATCCTCGCTGCTGCCGCCTCTCTCGATAACGCCTGCTTGGGCTGGTCAGTGTTATTTAGATGCCATTGTGCATTCAGTGAACTTTGTCTAGCTGCCCTTCCGACTCTCCCTACCGAGATGAATTCCGGTACTAAATCCCCGCAGTTGCCGCACTCTGCAAAACACGCGAGCCGAGAGGCAAAAGAGGCGTCGCCAGCACGAGCCTGAGACTTGCATTGCCAGACGTTAAAACTTGCATTGAGCATCTGCCTGATGCATCTCAGCCGAGCCGCTAAGCAAACCCCATCCTCCGACATAGTGAGAAACGTGGCCTGGCCAATTCTGGGTATGTCTCCACACTTGAACAACAACGACGGTGCAACCTGTCCGGCTATCGCGGCTTGCGGAGACTTGGTGCACGCCCAAGAAACAACCACCGCCACTACGGTATCTGTCGCTCGGGAGGCGACCCACGATTCTTTCAATCTGCTCGACCGCCGCCTGCATCTCCCCGCGCCGTCTGGGCTGTGAGGAAATCAAGCCAGCGGCCGGCCTCCTGGTGCCGGATGGGTCGGAAGGAGTGATTTTGAGGGGATGCGAGGAGTGAAGGTGCGGACTCTGCTCTCAAGCATGCAGCTGCTGTAGGGCCGAGACCTTGGCGCTTTTGGCCAGGAAGAACTCCTCGCCTGACATCTTGGATGCGTCCAGTCGAAAGCTGAGGTAGACTAAGGCAGCTCTTCACCTTGGGGATCCTGGAAACCTTGGCGTCTCACTTGGATCGAAGCTCGCTCCTACTCCAATTCTAGTCGTCACGAGCATGTTGCTTGCAGCCTCGGTTTTGGGGTTGAGAAGGGTTCTTCGGGCATGCAGTCATTCTGAAACAACTGCGTAATTGAAATCCTGGGCAATGGCAAACTTGGCCCCCTGCCCAAACCTGCCGCGCAACCCTCCTTCCCTCCCTCTCTCCCTTTCAGCCCTGCTGCGGCCGCCAGCAGGGCGCAACTCGATCCCGTGAGGGTGCTCCCCTCAGCGCCAGGAACCCTGTGGCTTCGCTGTGCCATGCCCGCTTTCGACTGATGCACATTTTGACCAAAGTCCCGGCGATTTCATGAGGACCGGACTCGCGATCTCACGAGCGCGCTCCGAGGCGTAGAGGGACCTTAAGCGAGCTGTAAGATCTACCAAGAGGCAAATAGCAGTTTCTCCGGCACGGCAGAATCGCTACGACTATGTTAGGAGTCGCTGATCTCCGAGCTGAAGAACCGACTGCTGCAGTAACGCTTCAACACTTCCCACTCCCGACCAGGTTCGCGTGCCTCTTGTGCTGATGCATATAAGGCAAGCAATCTCAAGACAGATTTTGCGCAAGCTGCTGGAGCAGGGCAACTTCTGCGCCAGGAAGCACGATGTAGAATGTGCCTGAAACGACACCAGAGCAGGAGAGCTCCTGCTTTCTGAAAGTCTGACTACGTGGGCAGGCTCATGCTAAGCTCCATGCAGACCTGAACATTACAAGCCCATACCTGAAGCCAAAAAATGCCAGTTTGCAGAGCACGGATTTTGGATCGACGCTTGAAGAACCGTTGACCGCGAATCCTTTCTAGACTGATCCGGCCTCGAAGCACCGCTGTGCTGCGCTTGACCCTGGCTCAGCATGGAATAACTATGACAGCGTTCATCCTGGATCAGATTAGCTCACTGCCGGGCCTATCACAAATCTGCCGCTTCTGCGAGCCTGTACAGCACGAGCAAGGCCCCGCGAACTTCGCAGAAGTAGGCCTTCCACCGGCCTGCTCCCATGCACAACGGCAGAGGAAGCGCTGAATCCCAATCATCCTTTGAAATGTACAACATCGCTCCTGTTGCCAAAACAGGACGCGAGGTGGCGATACCGATCAATCCACTGCTTGTCGACAGGACAATGTGAAAGCACGTAGCAGTAGCAGCCTTAGAGCTTGCAGTTCGGTGCCATCTTGAACAACAGTGGCCAACTAATCAATCCCAAATGCCACCGATCAAGCTCTCTTCCCCTGTGGTCTTGCTTCAACGTTTCTCCAGGCAGGGCACAGATGCACAAAGAACGACCATCAACAACTCTGCCTGAGGGCCGCCAGCGCAGCAGCACCCCAGGTGGAGGAACCTCACCGTCCGGAGCCATCATGGCTTGGAGGCCTCATGGAAGGAACGGAATTCGATGCCCGCGCAGTAGTGCCACCGCCAATTCAGGGAATGCACTTTTCTCTGCAAATTCTTCTGTAGATATGGCCACGAGGAATTGCATCCAGCCATGATCATGATCAAGCAGAGAAACACGATATGCCTAACATCTGCGTGATGGTACGTACCACGTCACAAAGCCACCTTCGTGGTCCGGCACGCCAATCATCGCAGAACCTTGGCACCACTCTTCAGCGAAGCCTTGGTCGCGTTGAGATCAGTCGAACAAGACTCTGCCTCGTCAGCTTGGAGGTTCGAAGTTGGGGCCAAATGTGTACAGCCCAGGCCAGACTAATTAGTTGCAAGCAGGCATGGGCAAATAACACTGCAAGCGCGATTGAAACGGCGTACTAAGGTACTGCACATGGTATTTGTCATTTAGAAAGCCAGAACAAACGAAGCAACCTCTAACAGGATGAAAGGAACTCCAGGTGTCGATGCCCATCGAAAAGAGACGGCCGAAGACCGAACGCTTCGGGCTCTCCACCTTTGGCAGGCCCTCCTGAAATCATTCACAGCAGCAACCCATGCTAATCCACTCGAGGCCCAAAGTGTCGCTCTTCCAACGTCAGTATCGTCAGTAGGAAGGCGAGTCAGGCACTTCAATAACTATGGCTAGCATCGGATGCCTTTGCGTCTTCCTCCGAATCTGATGGCTCTAACAGATTCTGGTACATGTGTGGTTTTCCTAGAGCCCCGAACAAAAAAACAGTTTTGTGCGCTCAGTCCCATATTAATGACTGAGATGTTGCTTGCAAGGACTGGCGTTGACTGGAGTGACTCTGCAATGGCGTGGCAGGTGTCACTCTCGGGTGTTTGGAGATCTACAAGGCAGCATGGCTGTATGACATTGTGCGAGGGAGTCATCTTTCAAAGACGGCATTGCACGGACTCGGGTTTGCGTCACGTGCCAAGACGGGGACACGGGGTTACCAGACCATCGCATAGACTCTCTCCTCCTCGTCGTTCTTGGGCGTGACTTCATCCTGAAGGCGGCAGAGCTGATCTGAGCGTTGTGGGCTTTGCACTGGAGCCTCCGAGGCGGTGTCGTTCTCTTCCAGGTCGAAGTTCACGGGGCCCTGGCAGCCCTGCACCGGAGGATCTGGATCCTCCTCAAACTCCAAGTCCTCGAGGACCCAAAGAGGCTTCCGGCTTACTCACATGGCGCCGTGCGGGCTCCTTTTTTCTACTGTCGCCTGGCTTCGGCAGCCCTAGGAACTATTACCTTGCGAGATATTTCAAAGACCACTGGAACACCGAATGGCAGCTGTCCTTCTTCCGATACTCCTCCTGGTGTCCATACAGCTCCTAGGTCTCTGAAAGCTTGCGAAGCACGTAAGCAGTGCCATAGCGCACTAGCACTTGTCAGGCTACTCGTCACACCAACCGCTTCTGCACTCTGGAAGCCCAGAGACTATTGGGCATCGGGGGGCTGTCTGAACAAACTGGACGTCTGCTTGCAGTCGTTCCAAAGCCAGCTTCCTCGGAGCAGCTCAATGCTCTGCGGGTTCGGGGCAATCATAGGACATGAAATGCACAGGCTAGGTGTATGCTGCATGCTGTTGCCGCGATCCGAAGCCTTAGACGCCTTGAGACCTCCAGGCCCAGGCTCAGAGCTTCGAGCTGTGATATGACTCTGGCATGTTGCACGTCATCCAAATCCGAGGGCAACTTGTTAGCGCTGCGTTTGTGGTGCGAGGGTTGAGCCTGTCGCAAGCCCGGCCACCGACCCCGAAGACCCTCCTTCCAATCAGCAAAGCTTCACCTGCGCCAGGTTCACACAGGCCGCGCTGGGCAGAGCCGACAACTCCGCATCCAGAGCTCCTCGTCAACGGGGGGATGCCTCCCATTCAGCAAGATACCTCTAGTCTCCAGAAGTGCCTGCGCACAATGCATCGATATGCATCGATAGCGAAGGCATGTGCCACAGGAAAGCACACTGTCAGAGCTATCAGAACGGCAGCAGGGCTCCTGTCTGAAGGTCAGGGCACTGCTTCAGGAGCTCCTGCAGACCTGAATTCTCGGCGTGGGCTTCTCATCATCTGACTAGGTTAAGATCATTACCGAGACCTTTTGTCCTCATGTCAGAAGACTCTGACACTTCAAAGCACGAGTCCACTCGACAAAAAGTACCGCAAATCTTCAGTTGCCTCGACGATGACCGCGATAATACCGCGATAGAAAGTCCGCACACATTCGCGCCCGGTGTAAGTCCGTCAAAGCGTTCGAAATCCCAGCGGCAGAAGTGCAGCATGTTAAACTTCGGGAAAGGGCCACCAAACGACTGCCTTGGATGCGGCGAAGGCTACACTGCGCACAGCTCTGAGCAAGGGCTTCAGGATTGAGGAATCTCCAAGAGACACTGCTGAGCTGGTTGCTGCTATGGCTTTGGCTCAACTTCAACATGATGCTGTAGCATACATCTATACATATTCATGGCCTAGGGGCGTCTCCACGAGGTGCGTGAGGCTTTGCACGTCCACGTTTCGAGCCCGCAAGTCGTTGGGCGTTCCATTCTCAGACGGTGCCTGACCTCAAGCTAAACAAGGCAGCAGCATGTGTCTTCCATTAGACACGCACGTGCACACACACACACACACACACACACCCAGAGACACATACGGACGGACGGACGGCCGGACGCTGGGGTGGGGGCACTCGAACAATCAAAATATCAAGAAGCACTCCGGCCGTGTTTTGTGCTTAAGCTCGCTTGGACATCCTTCTTTCTCCGTAGTGTAGAGATCTCGGACACAGCGTCCAACTGCTAGAGTTTCTCAGCCGCTTGAGCGAGCGGCCGTAGTTCACGTAGTTAAAGAGCACCACGATGATCTGCAACAGATTCCTCTCTGACCGGGCTCTTTGGGATGCCTACCGAGCCTATGGACTCCGAATATTCTGGGAGGTCCTGAGGACTGTGGACTTGCGCACTTCTCCACAGGCCGTCTGCACCGCGCACATCCTGAATTCAGGGGGTCGATGGAGAGGGAGAGGCGGGAGAGGGAATGAGGGACTCCAGGGACTCCCCTCTGCGGGTTTTGATTGCCGGATTGCAGATCCCAGCATCTGCTGCATCCCATCTCCCAAGCGCTCGTCCAAGGTCTTGAAGAGCGAGAGCCTGATCCGAATGTCTTGGGAAGAAGGCTGAAAGGGTTTTGGGGCGATAAAAGGGCTTGGAAACTCGGAGCCTGGTTGAAGGGACGAATTCCTTCCAACATAATCTGCAATGCCGAGTTCGACGCAGATGTAGTTCTCAACCCTAACCCCGAAGCGTGCAGACACATGGCACAACACTACGAAGCGCTTCTGTTCCATCCAAGGACAATCGCAATCGCTCCCGTAGCCGCGTCAGCCGAGCCAGCGGCCTCAGTGGCTTTAGAAGCCCGACGCAGGCAATGACAGCTGCACGATGCTCAGACTCAGCCCAACTTCAGCCGAGTGGCAGAATCTCGCGCTCCACGTCGCGAAGCCTATGACATGCTTCAAACTGAACCGAGGGCACGTGCTCCGAGCCCGCTCGGCAATGAAGCAGAACGCGCTAGAGCTCATCTACTGGAAGTCCAGGACGCTGGGATCTTCCAGAACTTACGCTGAGGTGCGCAGGCAATGAGATACTGCAAGGTTTGTAAGGTTGCAACCTTCGAATTACATCTGACGACTCTAAGATTGACTCGATAGCCGGGCTTTGCTGGTAAGGATCTTGTGCCCACGGTGTTAGTTAGTAACTGCTGATGCCGAAATGTGCAAAGCACAGTCGGGTTGTTTCGATTCTGCATGAACTCGAAAGTCTCTTGGAACTGCCGACTCCATGGCGAGACATCCTGTATCATCCTATATCATCCTATATATCAGGATTCGCATGTTCTACCGTGGCCGCTTGCCGGCCGCCGAACCGCCCCATCCCAAATTCCAAGAAAGCACTGCTCTCATCAATCGAATTCGCCCAACAGATCCCAGAGTTGCCCGGCCCGGAGATGTCGCCCTCGTAGTCCGCCAGAGGTCGGAGCAGTTCCACAGGAGGCAGAACCTGCGTGAAGCGCTCGCACCTGAGCTGCGCTTCTGCACCCGGCGGCAGCTCTGCGGAGTGACTGCAAGGAAACCGAGCAAAGCCGAGTCCCTTTAGGCCGAGATGCTCCTCGGCACTCAGGGCGCAATCGCCGGGCTGGAGTTGATCCAGAGAGGCCGCCAATGCTAACAGGGCAAAGAGCTTGGGCTCAACGTGAATAGGCACACTTAGACTTGAGCAGTATCTTGAAACTGAACCACGCACCCGACCATCTCAGCACACACCCCAAAATCGGGAGCCTGCAGTGTCAAGACGCAGCTTCCGCAGCACTATCCTGGTCTTGGCCATGGGGGTCTCATGTTGTCTTGCCCCACTCAGATCCATGAAGGAAACACATTCACGTTGCGGTCGGAGCAAGCCACAGATTTCGGACCCGTCTTGATGCCCAGACACCCACCCAAATCCTCTAAAACGGAAAGCTCTCCGTCTTCATGGGTCGAATCGGTTGAATATCTGCCGAGGCTCGCCACGTTCTGGGCGTTGGATCGCGGGAGGAGCTCGACACCGCGGGGCGAGCGGCGCGAGGACCTCGCAGGGCTCATTTCAGGAGTTGGCCCCATCTTCACGGGGAATGGGCCCCGCCTATAACAGACTAATATCCCATGGTGCCAGATCACACCCAAACCTTCTTGTAGGCCTCGCGGAGGCCGGTGCCTTTGCCTGCGCAGCAAAAGCGCTTCGTAGGGCCTGTGGAGGGCATCAAAGATGTCCGGCTGGTTCAGAAGGACAGGCGTCCGGTTTGGGGAGTTTGGCGGCTGGGCCTCCAGGTCCACCGCCGCAGGGTTCAACGGGCTGGGCTCCTCATCGGAACTCGAGCCCGGCCCGGTTGGTCCGCCCGCCGCTGAGCGTCGCTCTGGGGCCTCGGCTCGACGAGTTTTGAAAGGGTCGCCTGGCCCTTGCGCAACCTTGCGTGAAGAGAGGCGAAAGCTGCAACCTGGTCAGCATTGAGCGTGCGGACCTCAGGGAACAAGGGAGGTAAACAGTACGCTCAGTACACTGCACCTCTGCGCCCGTCTGTTACGAATGCCAACTGGAGTTGGTGCTAGGTCCTGCTAGGTCGTGGCTCAGACGCCCTTGTGCTAACATGTCCGATGGCAACGAGAAAAAGGGGTCCAGGTGGACGGAGTACTCCCGACAGACGGGGTGGTGTCACTTGGCGACTTGGCACGGGGCAGAGAGGCGGCGGCCCAGAGGAAGACTCGAAGCCTCGCCAATGCTGCCGACACCACACCCCCCGTGAACTGACGCCAGCTCCCGTGAACTCCCTTCTGTGCAACAGTTCGGCATTTATGGTCGTGCATACTCGGAACGCCTATCTCATCACGTATCCCTCAGCTTCCGACTGCTTCTGAAGGGAGTGTGGGAAGTGAGACTTTGGAAAACAAGGCTTCGTAAAATCCACAACGCTCCTGCAAAAATATGAAAGATTTACCTGATGGTGCAGGTCGTTCCTGAGAAAAAACAGCAATTCAGAAGGAGAAGCAAGCGGGGGTTGAGAAGAGGAGGAACGAAGCAGGACGGGGAGGTCGGAAAAAGATGAAGACAGGGAGCAGGACAGTCGACTCTTTGGCTAGTTATCTCCGGTTTCATGTGAAGGAGATGAATGAGGCCCTAAATGTTCATCATTCCACCGAAACCCTGCGGATCAGACTTTTATTAAAGGGATTTCCGCAACACCTCGATTCGATGAGCTGCTGTCCCCCTTGACCCTCACAGCCTTCGGCATGGTCCGCAGGCGAGGGACGCCCTTTCCTGGGACCGGAGGCCCTTTGCCTGACGCGCTCGAGGCAGCTCTACTGCGGCGGCGTCACCTGCGGCTGTTGAGACCCGGCCTTGGCCTTTTGGCGGAGCTTTGCCAGGGCCCTTGGCGCCTTTGGCGCCGCCTTTGCCAGGGCCTTTGCTCGCGCGGCCGGGGCCTTTGGAGCCCTTTCCTCGGCACACCCAAAGCTTCCAGGAATGCACTGACGAGGTATGCGAGAATAGGCCCGTACAACCTAAACCTGCTTTGATTCATCTCAGTCCGCCACCATTGTCCGGACTGTTGTTCTTAGGGCTCTCCTCACCAACAAACTCCTGAGGCAAAGGCAGTCCAAATTGACGAATTATGTTGTGACCTCTTTTCGATTTGCTGCTCAACCTTGCAAATCGGCTACTGTTACCGCTGCAAGACAGTCCGTGATGCTGGCGAATTACTGCTACGGTAGCTGGTCGTGGTGCTGCTGATGCTGCTGCTAAAACTGGTCGCGCTGGCGATGGATGGCGGTGGCGTCATTCGTGGTGGGTGCTTCCAGGGGGCTACTACTACTACTGCTACTGCTA